GGGGGGGGGGGGGGATGTACTCACAGTACCCATCTGCAAAGTTCATGCAACGAAGACTCTCTGTATCCTCATAAACGACCCAAGCTAATCTTTGCCACTTCCTGATGACAAAGTTTGTCTCACAGTGGAGATATATCACTTCCTCGATACCAATTACCATGCAACTTTTCTGGATAGACAGGGTTTGCGTAGCATCTTTTGGCATTTTAGAGTGAGCACCGTAAATGAGAATAGGTGGAATTAGGCGAATTTGTAAATAGTAGGATTATTGTATATAGTTAGACATAAAATGGATGCATTTGGAATGCATCAGTTAACAATGAAATGAAGTCAAAAATGGAAAGTCTCCTCACACCATCCCATAATACTTTGTCATTGGGGCAGCCGTCACAATGTGTGTGTGTGTGTGTGTGTGTGTGGGGGGGGGGGTGTGTGGGTGTGTGTGTGTGTGTGTGTGATGCTGGCAGGAGTCGGTTATGCTGCAGTTCTGCGGCAACAAATTGGACAAGAAGGATTTCTTTGGCAAGTCGGACCCTTTCCTCGTCTTCTACCGCAGTAATGAAGACGGATCGTGAGTTGACAAGCTGCCGCTCGCCTCCGCTGTTGTTCATCTAACGAACACAAGCGCACGCGCGCACAAACACACTAAGACACACACACACATGGACGCTGATCGTTCACGCTCCAGAAAGCTGCCATGTACACTCTATAAACACTAAATGTGTTGTTCTTATATAATCTTCTGTACTGCATGTATATATACAGTATATATACAGTATGTATATATATATATATATATATATTGCTTTGTCTTGCAAGCTGCTCCTAATTTTACTCACTAGGCAGCAGACCCTGTGGCTTCCGGCTTATCTCAACGTGCAATAATTACACACATTTTATAAAATCAGTTTATTTCTTTAACTTCTCCTCAATTATGTTCTATTATGTTTACACTACAGTGCTGTTCTTCTTAAAAACTCTTACGGTAACCAAAAATGTGGTGGGTGCTTGGGGGCGGGGACGGATTAATTGAATTTTAAATTTGATTTCATTTCCCTGGGAAATACTGATTTGATATAGAATTCAATTAAGTGCAGAGCTTGGCCATGGAACAAATGAAACTCATAAGTCAAAGTACCACTGTAATTTGCAAAGACAGGATGTGGTGTGATGTCCATTCTGCTGAACATGGTTTCTTCTCAACATTCTCCTCTTTTAACCAGGTACGCGGTGCCCCAGCCATCGCCATCGTAGGTTGCCTAAGCTTGGCTGTGGAGTTACGAGCAGGTGCGGGTGGCGAGGACCCCGTGACGTTCATCCGTGAATCGTTGTGTCGCCTGACGTCAGCGAGGCCCACCGCTGTCAACATGGGCCGTGCCGCCCGTGAACTGATGGAGTTTGCCGAGAACGAGAGCATGGAGAAGAACTCTGAGCAGTTGAGAGAAAGGTGGGGGCAAGTTTGATTTGAAATGTTAAGCAGGGGGCAGCCCGGTGGTCCAGTGGTTAGTGTGTTGACCTCATAGTGTGGATGAGGTCAACACACTATGAGGTCTATGAGGCCTGTGTGGGTTTTCTCCGGGTACTCCAGTTTCCTCCCACATTACAAAAACATGCATGGCAGGCTGATTGAACGCTCTAAATTGTCCCAAGGTGTGAGTGTGAGAGAGGGTGGTGGTTTCTCCATGTGTGCTCTGCGATTGGCTGGCAACCGGTTCAGGGTGTCCCCCGCCTGCTGCCCGAAGACGGCTGGGATAGGCTCCAGCACACCTGCGACTCTTGTGAGCATAAGCGGATCAGAAAATGGATGGATGGATGTTCAGCAGGCGCCAGCCTGCTTGCTATTATTTGCAATGCTATTATTTGTCTGGTGCCATTTGAAAAAAATATACATTGCAGAGTCGTTTGGGAATTGAAAGTTAGAAAATCCTATAGGTGTGATAAAGAAAAATATCACCTGCTTATATTAACTTAACACTTTTCCTGGAAACCACACCCAGTAATAAAAGTGTCAGGGCGGAATACTTGAGCGCTGGTGGTGTTAAAACTCAAAATAAAAACTTAACGTATTGGAGGTTTGGTGGAAAGTGATTTAACTGTTGGAATTTTACTCCCCTGTACCAGCATATGAACCTTTCATTCAGGAGATTTCTTATCCATTGTCAATCAACAAGGAATTTTTAAATATCCCCACTTTGCAAGGCTAATACAATGCCAAAGAAGACTGAGTTAAGCTGTGTCAAAACTAAGGGGTGTTTGTTTAGGCTCTTAATTTACATGGCAACTGGGTTTTGTAGAAAATGCAAACAAAATCTCTGAAAGAACAAGATCATTGTTACAAGTGGCTCAAATGACATTCTTACAAATCCGTGCTCTCCCTTATGATACGTTTGGATAGAAGACGAAATGTCCTTTCGGTATTTGCATGAGTTTCATTGCAAGACACGAACAAACAGTAGCTACTTCATTCACGCCACAACAGAAGAGGAGAGCCACCTCCTTTTCCTCTGACAGACAAAAAGCATGAACATCATAAGTCAACCAGCTGGCCGGTGGCTGTGCTCAAACTTTGGCTAATGCTAAATGCTATTGCTATCTTGGTTCAAAGTTGAACAGCTGTAACCAAGTAAATACACTTTCCAGATAGGAACAGCCTCCTCGCTCACCATTCCGTAAGCCTGCTCGTTTTTGACTCGGTCTCAGTCGGTATTGCAAGCTGACTATGGTGTCCACCTCCCGGTGCCCACAGACCGGATGTAGGGGTGAATCGACAAAAGAATAAACTGCTGCCCTTGCAGCACCTTTAATTGCTCTTCATTGACACCCGCAATTGCTCTTGTCTTAACATCCTACTCACAAAGCATAATGCACAAATTATATACTAACCTAACATACCCACAATATTAAACAGCAGATTGCAGTTTGCACCTGTTTCCCGCCTGATTGCCGCACATGGCAAAGTATAAATGCTACTTTGTGCCAGGAACACCATGGCAGGACAATGGCAGTCAGGAAGGGAAAGATGAAATTATCAGAACGTGAGCTTGAGGGCCTGAGGAGGTGCCAACGGAACTGTCAGAAAATTGTTATCGATCGTCCCCCATTATTCACATCGACATCACATAAATCTCAGAAAATATCAAAACAGTCGACTCAATATTTTGGAGTCCATGGACATCAATTGTCATGGGTGCCTACTATGATGAGGAAAATGACATTATATTCATTCATTCATTTAATGCCGATGAAATCCCACATATTGGTACGAACATTTTGATATTTTCAGAGATTTGCACATGCGTAGAGATGTGCATGTGAATCTTCACAGCAGGCACTTGAAGTTTCCTGACATTAACCGGTGTTGCAATTTTTTTACATGAATCATTTTAGACCAGGGGTCACCAACCTTTTTGAGAGTGAGAGCTACTTTATGTGTACTGATTGTGTGAAGGGCTACCAAATTGATACACGTCTGAAATAACATCTGTACAAATTACATTTAATAATATTAGAATGTGTTATTTTTAATACTTAATGTTTTATTTAAATTTTCAGGCTCTGATCATCTGAAAGATGTCTCACAATATTGCCAATGTTTGCATTTTTAAATCATAATTTCTGCTAGCAAATCACAATCCTAGCACTGGCGGGCTATTGGTGTGGTCCTCACGGGCTACCTGGTGCCTGCGGGCACCCCATTGGTGACCCCTGTTTTAGACTGTCCCGGTGTGAGCCCATTCCTCCAAACTCCAGGCACGAAAAGAAATACAACGGTTTCTCCTTCTAAATATCAGCTCATGAGCCTGCCTGGCATCAGAGCCATCCTGTACCTGGCAAGCTTTCCCACTTCCCGCACCCACCATGTCAGCGCATTCCCACACATTGGTCAGATGTTGCAGGTGGCAATGCGCCCCTTTGCGCAAAAGTGGAGAGCCATTTATACATACACCAGCTTTCCATCTTATTTGCTTCACTCAAACTGCGAGTGGCAACGAGTGAGGGTGTTCATGAATTAGACGTTTATCAATGAGGCTCATTTGCATCAAGGTAGGTAATGTCTTCGCCAAATATATGCATATTAACTCATTTAAATATGCGCAAATACCATTGGTGCACGAGACGCATTCTGCTTGGCAAGTTTGAGAAGCATTTCACCACCTGCGCATTCTTTGTGCATTAGACCCTGTCTTTTTGTTCCATTTTTCCCATCTAGCACCACGCAAAAGCAACTCAGTCCTTTAATGCAGGGGTCCCCAACCGCCGGTCCGCGGACCGGTACCGGTCCGCAGGGCATTTG